CCCCCCCTCACTATCGCCCTAGCCCGTCCCGGCAGTCATATGGGGCTGCCACCCAAGCAGAGCAGAGCGCAGCTCGGCTCCCCCCCCCCTCCCTCCCGCTCGCCCACGCCCTCCCAATTCCTGGAAGGCTGCCCCAGCCGGGCCACACCACCATGCAGCGCCTAGCTGCTCCCCCTCCCCCCTGCCAGCCCCCCTCGCTCAGCCCAGCCACACCGACTCCTGCGTCGTGGGCATTCCCTCCGGGCGTACCACCGCCCGCTCCCTAGGCGCGGCCACCGCGGTACCATGCAAGGTACCAGCACACCCTCTGTCCCATAGGCACTACACCCGTATCCCTTCCCCGGGCCAGCTCTGTTACAGCTCAGTTACAGGTGCCAACTCGCGGGACCGACCATCGCACCTCGACAGCCCAACATCACGGATGGGGATGAGCGCGTAGCCGAGCGCGTAGCACAGGGATGGGGCCACTAGGCGCGCCGGCCGGCCTGGCAGCAGCGCAGCCGGGCAGGCCCGGACGTGTCGCAGGGGGCGGAGGGGGCGTTGCCCTGGACCGCGTCGAATCAGGGAAAGAGCTCGTAAAGAGTCCTGAAGGACAGGGCCGCGCCACAGCGCTGTGGCGTCACCGAGCGCCGGGGGGTCCAGGGCTGCACCACGCACATGTGTGCAGGTCTAGGAAGTGAATGCCAAGTCCTGCAAGTTCCGGCCAGAGTCCCGGACGACACCGGCGACCAGAGTCAGTGTCAGTGCGCTCTGGAAGCTCGGAGGACCCACATCGTGTCGCATAGGCAGATAGGTTCCGCCAGCACCGCAGCCGCGCTACGCCAACCTAACGCGCCCGCGCGCTTGCTTCCCGCGAACGCCGTGCACCGGAGCGACGACAAGGGGCGCGCGACAAGTGGCGGGAGTGTGTGAGTGAGGCGACACTAGCGCCGGCTCTCCGGCCTGGATTAGGAGAGCCCGCGCCGCGGACGCCCGGACGACGCCCCGCCGGCGCAGCCACCAGGAGCCGGCCCCCGACGCCCCCGCCGGAGCAGCCAACTGCACCACCACGGCCGCGGTCTCACGGACGTGAAGGGCTGAGTACCTGGGCAACCTGTACCCCCTCCCCCTGTCCACCTGACTAATCCACAAGCTTCTCTTGCAGGAAGGGTGTGGGTTACTAGTGTTACTACTGTCCCCCCCCCCTTTTCCCCCCCTGTCTAATCGGTTGCTTTACAGAAATAGGGTACATATGTGAGTGTGTAACGTGTAATTGTCCCCCGCCCTCTCCCCCTCCGCCCGTCTTATCCCTCAGTGCTTTATGTCCGATCTCTCCTGGCCATTGCACCCCCTTGCAGCTGCTGTCAGCGCACGGGGCGGTCAGGGTCGCGAATCCCTCTGCCTCACTGTTTGTTTACAGGACCTGCACCCCCTCGCAGCTGCTGTCAGCGCTTGGGTCAGTCAGGGTCGCGTTCCCTCTGCCACACTGTTTACAGGACCTCTGACCCCTTCTCTTCCAGCCTCTCTCCTGCCTTGTGAGTGTT